ATCTAGTATATAGTATATAGTATATAGTATATAGTATATAGTATATAGTATATAGTATATAGTATATAGTATTGTATTGTAGAAGCACTTGTGCTGATTCCGGCGGAGGTGTGCCTGTGCCAGCCTTCCAGGACAAGGCTCGCGATCCACTCAAGCCCAGCTGAGGCAACTCACAGCAGACTGGTACCGTGGACTCCGGACATGCACCAGCCGAGGGACATATCTCATGTCAGCAGTGCTTTGGTTGACAGGTGGCAGAGTTCTTCCGTGCCTGTGCACAAGACAAGATGGGAAAAATGCCCGGCCTGTGAGAGACTCAGCTTCTTTTTGCTTGGATGTTCTTTTTGCGTGTCGGTGCTTAGTCTCTCACGGCGTTGTGGGTGTGGGTTCGAGCGGCTGTAACGGCGGTAGCTCCAACAATGCTTCAAGTTGCTGTCCAGCTCTCCATGTGACTTTGAGCTTCTCACACGGCACCCTGCATCTCAAGGGTCCAGCCTCCAGTAGGGAAATGATGTCCTTGCTGTGTATGCTCTTCCGGCATCCAGCCTCTTCTCAGGTCTGAGATGCTAGAAACAAGCTACAGGAGTCTGTGGCAGCGAGGCTCGCGACTGAAGGTGGAAAGCCAGGAGCAAAGCTTCAGAGCACTTCCTGCTTTTGACGAGCTTAGAGTAGACTCCGCGGAGCCCCTCAAGAGTTTCGAAGTCGACTTCTGCTGTCCAACCCACGGAAGGCGTCATGCATGATCCTCATGTTTAGTGTACAGCAACAGGGGTCCAAGATGGTCCAAATAAATTGCTATTGCATAGGCAGTCTTTCAGAAACAGGGGTCATGACACACTTTCCTCCCAATATCACCCGGGTTGTATGAAGCGTGGTGGCCTAGCAACAATCCTCAATGCGACGGATTAAACCCGAGAAGAGGCTTCTCAATCAGAGCGGAAACTATCCAAGCAGAGTTCAAGAAAGTGTGTATAAGGGGACAAAGAAGCATGGTTTATTTTACTAGTAGTCTGCTAGTGCCGCTTTTCCCGCCGCACTTTCAAACTTCGAGGAGCTTCTGGGCCTCGAACGTCTCAGTTCGGTACGCTTTGCGCTTCGAGAGGAGACTCTCCAGGTGGGGACCAAACCTTTCCCTGTTGCCAGCACACTTTTCCACAGTTGCAGTTGAAGGCTCTAATTTCTTCTTTTCGCTGAAGGATCTCGCGAGGGTTTCCCTCCTTCTGGTCGAGCTGCGATGTTGTTGCAGGCTTTCCGCCGACATCGCTACAAGTCGCTGCTGGGGTTTGGACCCAAGACAGCCTGCACGCTAGCATTGGGGGCGGTGAGTCGCAAGCAACCACTTGTATCTTCAAAGGAGTGTTCGGCAGCCTGTCTTCTCGGAATTATTTCACATAGTTTTTCTTGGACCTGATTCAAAATTGGTACTGCGTGTAAGCGGCCTTTTTCCCTCGTGGTAGCGATTCTGAGGCTGCAGCTGCTTCGAGGCTTGCGCCGCCGCCGGGCCCTGGAAGCCTCCTGGCTTCTGCGCGCCGGCCTGAGACTTTCGGTAAGACATGCTTTCCGGCGGGCGGGGGGGGGGGGGCGGGGGGGGGGGGNNGGGGGGGGGGGGGGGGAGGGGAGCAGAGTAATCTCTAGAGTCTTTTGCTCCGGAGTTGGATTTCTGAACCTTTGTTGTGCCCAGTTCGTGCCGACCCTCGCACCGTCGTAGTGCACCGTTTGAAGTTGAAGCTGCAGTCGCGCTCTTGAAGTACTTGTGAATTTCAAGCCCGAGACTTTCCTTGTGTTGTGCATACTACAAGTACCCAGTACATCCTAGTGCTGCGTGAAAGAGGAAAAAGCATGCAGCTGCCGTCAAGGTTCCGATGTGCTTCTGGAAAAGCAGAGCGGCCTAGGCCTAGGCCGAAGCCCTCCTCATGCGTTTTGTTGAACCTTGTGTGGGTGGCTCCATCTGAGCTTCTGTACTGGGCAAGCCTGAACCAGCCCGAATTCTAAGCTCAAGCACGCAGCCTGAAACCGGCAACTCCAGCAAATCACTCTTCCGCCCAAGACTTTGCAGAGGGAGAACTTCAGCGGCGAATCAAAGTGGTCAGGAAAGCTGACCACGTTGTGAGTTGTGCGAACATGCCTTGTCCGCCCAAGCCAAACATGCATCAGAACACATCAGTGCGGAACAGCAGAAAAGCAACAGAGGGCCCCAAGTGTGTGGACCACAGCTCAGTTCCTTGGGCAGCTACAGAGCTACAGTTCATGGCGCGGCCCGTGTTTACATGGCAGGCACGCCGGAGGCCCTTCAGCTTGTGAAGCTGAGCAGCGACACCCCGATCACCGTTCGACCGCACAGGATCTGGGTGAGCACTTCCCATTTCTACGAGTTTCATCGAATTTCTGTGCGAGACGAGGTTTCCAGTAGAAGTGGAGGAAGGGTTCAAACTCTCCAGAGAAAGGAGAACTCGCGTGCGGCAGCGACACAAGCACGGGACTTCAAGGAAATCGCGCTCCAGGCCCGGACTTCGCTGCGCCGTGTAAGTCTGTGCCTCGCCCCCATGGTCCCAGGAGACGCCCCTCCGCTGCGTGGAAGGGACGGCTTGAAGTACGCCGAGCAGAAAAAGAGGAAGGCTGGACCTGAGATCCCTGGGTCCAATCCTGCGCCCAACAGTCTTTGCACTTGCGAGGCGGTGGAGACTGTGCAGAAATCATTCAGGCCGGGCAGTCATGGGAAATCCGATTGACTTCTTTTCCCCCGCTCGACGAGCTACCACACTGGTGCCATGTAGGCCAAAGCAGCCTGGGTGAGCTATCGCCTCCTGGTGGATCGCAGCAGATGCCCTGAGGCGGAGGTGGCGTTGGGCACTCCATCCTCTCAGGGCCGTCAAACTGGCAGTATCTGGCAGTGCTGCTTCTAACGAATTGATCTGTATGCAGTCTCTGCGAGCAATGGGATTCAACGGGGGAAAAGACTCGGGTGCTCTGCGAGGTTCCCCGGACACGCCGAGCGGAGGAGATTCAGCCTTTGTTGCCGGCACCGCGCTCATGCTTATCATGCCTTAAAGCACTTGTGGAAGTATGTGTGAAGGCACTCACATGCTTGTGCTTGCATCTCTGATCATCTCTGAATGTGTGTATAATTATGCAGAAAAGTCAGGATGTGGATTTATGTGCATGTGTATGTACACCTAGATTAGGTAGATACCCGCGCAAATAAACATACCAAGACACTGCGAGGAGCTCTTACGATCCGAGGAACTCTTTCACAGCTTGAACTAGTTCAAAATAGTTGCTTCGGCGATGTGTTCGAGCATGCAAAGTTGCCGAAACAAAGCTTGAAGTATAAGGACTCTTCGCCGCAAGTCTGCCCTGTTCGTGCAACCCACTCGGCTTTCCAATCCCGTCCCAGCTCCACCCCCGAAGCAGCCCCATCAAATCATCGCTAAAAAGACGAAGAGCAAACGTGCGGCAGAAACAGGAGCAACAGCGGCGCCTCGCATCAAACAAATGCACAACGGCAAGCAGTGATATTAACTTCGTCACGGGAGGGAGGACAAGGAGCACGAGTTGACAATCGTGCGCATTTTCAGCATTAGACCACCTGTCGCGAACAAGCTGCAGACACGAAGAGGAAACTTGTGTAACGTGCTCACCACGAAGTTGGCAGTGGAGAATGTCGTAGTCATGCAAGACCAGCAATGGAAGCACAAACATAGGCAGAGTGAGCCAATGATTTCATTGTCCGTAAGACAAAGCAGTACACAGAAAAAAGAGCTAAGTGAGTCGACAAGCCTTTAAAGCATTTATTGCCTGCCATATGCATATTATGCGATGCAAATTAAATTACATGTTACGTGTTATATTATATACATTCACACAAACATGCGTGCATACATGCATGCATACATGCTCAGATGTATGCATAGGTCATGGGTTCATACATATACACACATTTCTATCTATCTATCTATCTATCTAACTACCTATCTATCTCACTACCTATCTATCCACCTATCTATCTATCTATCTATCTATCTATCTATCCATCTCTGTATTTATCTCTGTTTTTATCTACCTATCTATGTATAGGTATGTATGTATGTATGTCTGTATGTAGGTATGTATGTAGGTATGTCTATACGTAGGTATGTATGTACATAGGTATGTGTGTATGTAGGTATGTAGGTATGTATGTATGTATGTATGTATGCATGTATGCATGAATGCATGTATGTACGTATGTACGTATGTATGTACGTAGGTATGCAACTATGTAGGTATGTAGGCATGCATGTATGTATGCATGCATGTATGTATGCATGTATACATACATATATATATATATATATGTATATTTACATACGTGCATGCATATATATATATATATATGTGTGTGTGTGTGTGTGTGTGTCTAATCAATCAAATGTGCAATCTAACCTGGGGCCAGGGCCAGATCTGGACCGAGGAGGTCATCTCTGCGGGTCGGCACATGGGAGAGGGTGGCGGCTGGGCCCTTGGAAAATAATTGTCCTGACTTGTTGGGCCATTGAGTTTGTCGTTAGGATTCTTGGGATTGCAGTCTATAGATTCCAAGCATCATCGCGAGCATGCGGTCTTACACGGTGGCGGCGCTGGTAGTGCACGGGGCCGCAGTGGTAGCTGCTTCAACATAAGATCCGGTTCTGAAGTTCAGCCGGGCCGCAGCCACGCGCCGGGCTCAAGCCCCGGCCACATCACCTCTCGTATCTGCCTTGAAGGTGCGGATGCCGAGGCTATGACAGAACAGATCAGCAAAGCGTTCGATTGTTTGCGTGATGCAATTCTGGAAGCCCTCCGCAACCAGAGTGAGGAGATCCAGGACTTGCGCACAAAAGTTGAGGCCAAGGATCTCGAGCTGGCCAAGATCAAGGCCGAGATCAAGGTTGTCAAGTCGAGGCAATTTGATCCCATTCAGCTCCTGCTGGATGTGGAAGACCTCAAGCAAGAAATGCTCGAGATCCTTGGCCTCAACTGTTGTGCGCAAGTCCTGGATCTCCTCACTCTGGTTGCGGAGGGCTTCCAGAATTGCATCACGCAAACAATCGAACGCTTTGCTGATCTGTTCTGTCATAGCCTCGGCATCCGCACCTTCAAGGCAGATACGAGAGGTGATGTGGCCGGGACTTGAACCCGGCGCGTGGCTGCGTCACGGCAGAGCTTGAACGACGATTGCAAACAGAACCATGCCACAGCTGCATGTCCAACCGTTTGCCGCTAGAAATTTGACGTTGCTGCCATCCTTGTCCGCA